GGGGGGGGGGGGGGGGGGGGGGGGGATCTCTCCACCACTTACGATGTATGCATGTGTACCAGGCATGATGCAGCTCCTCCCCGAGTTTTCTTTTTTGCGGTCCCTGCTTGTGGGGTGTGGCTGAAATTTATACATGATATTTATGTATATTTTTTTCAACCATTTTGTGGCCCACCTCCGTCCTCCGTCCTCTCGAGGACGCGTGGTCAATGGTCTAACCACTGAGGCATGCAAAGCATAAGAGTACGCCCCCCCCTCCCCCCCCCTAAGGTGGTGGGTATCGTGACGAGAAAGGACCTTCTGCCGGGACACCTCGCGCAGCGATTGGCCGAAGTGCCTAGGACTCGCGTGTGGGACCCGCCAATGGTGAGGCGGCCGCCTCCCTCTCGGGGCTACGACGACGACAACGACAGCGGCCTCTGAGTAGGAAAGAGAATAAAATGATGGGGGAGAGGGAGGGAAGAGGAGAGAAAGAGAGCCTGGCCAACGGTTTATTTGGACGTGGCTATGAGAAGGTGTACTGGCAGTACGGCTACGGGCGATCGGTGGTTTCTGATTGGCAGCAGTATTTTTTCCTTGTTGTCGTGGTTGATGTGCCTGGAACACATGTGGCTTTCTGTGGGCTGATGGAGTTCGACGGATGTGGACGTTGTGCCAACCACAGCAACCGTTCTACGATTGGATGAGGAGAAGAGATGAAGAGCTGGACCTCAAACGCGTGGATACGAAAATGTACGACCAACGGCTGCTGCTCTTGTACATTTACGTACGTAGATGTCGACTCGTTTTCTGTAGCTCCGATGGCCATGACCTTCTACAACAGCCAGAAGTGTCGGCTGCAACTGCTGTGCCGTAGTGGCAGTGACATGCCCACCACTCAAACTCACTGTGCATACTCAAGACCAAATGAACGTGCTTAGGGTCCCAATCACGGTGTGCGCGGCGACGGGTGTGACGGCATTCTTCTTGAGACCCATCACGATGGCGATTGTTTGCATAGCTTGCAGACTGTCGGTGTTTTCTGGGATGGATATAGGCAAGGTTGTAGCAACCACAGCAAAGTTAGAATGCTGAGGCAGTCGAGCCGCTCGGACCGCATGGTGGTAGGAAAAGAGGGTTGGAGACTGTTATGTGTTTCTTTGGCAAGGGCAGCGCTCGGTGAGGCCGTGGTCGCCACTGCTGTGCGCCTTGGCATGCCCTTGGCATTGATGATGGCCATGGAAGAAGTTGTACGTTTCTTTCTCGACTTTACCGGGGGACGAGTTGCAATTTTGGTCGTAGCTACTGCCCAATAGGTCCACCAAGTTAGAGAGAAGGTGTTGACCGAATGGCACTTCGTCGACTTCCTCGGCGAGGGAGTTGGGAATCTAATCCCCGACCTTAGCCGAAGCGTGTTCAGAGGTGGGGAGAGAGGGGTCCGGCTTCTGCTCTTTCGTGAGTATGTTTCGTTGTTTGATGGGCGATGTAGTGCTCGTGTTTTGGGGCTTTCGGCTTGAGAAAGAAATGCAGAGGCAAGTGTGATTTTTTTGCGGCATCGCTATCGATCGTGTGGCCGTCGGACGGCTTTGAGCGACACCAATGACCAGGAGCTGTCTGGCTTGAAATAGAAGCCTCGCTTCGAATGGGACGTGTATTGATTTCATTCCTAGGTGCGTGCTCCTTTTTGTCCATGTTGTGTCAGTTTTGAGTTTTGTTGGGGTGGGTGGGCGGCCGAATCCTACCGATTACTTCTCGTGGGAGGAAGTAGTATTTTTGGCAAGGGTCCTGATAATTGTTGAACTTATCCACTCATGAACGCATGCGTTGCTTGTCGTTTGGCTATTGCTGTGGTGCGGTTGTTGCTGTATCGGCATTTATGCTCAAAGCGACGCCAACCAAGAGTTATGTGTTCCTCAACTGCTGTATGTGCTGCTGCGGCGGTATTTTTGTTCTTGGTTGCTTTCGTGGAGAGAGCGAAAATGTACACGTGCGTCAACAACTGTATTGTACAGAGCGCGCCCGCGCTTACTAGTGCTCGGTCGAGGCTGGGGTTCTCACTGTATTCTTAGGGTCATGCTACGAATGGTCGCTATAAAGGTTTTAGCATAGGGGTTAGGGTCCTCAACCCAGCTGACAAGTTGTTCGATTTTGATTGTTTTCAGTCAGGCTGCATTTTCTCAACTCCTGGGTTCTTCAGGGTGGCCGCGTTCTGTCGCTCCAAATATCGTTGTGAGCAGGCCCTCTTCGATCTTGATCGTGGCAGCACGTCAGAAAGCGGAAATTGCAAGATTGCCTTCGTGTGTAAATGGCTTCAACATTTCCTCTCCAGCAGAAGCCCACCGATCGCAACGCGATCAAGAACTTGGCGCTTGCAACAATTGACTGCTGTGTCTCTGCTGTCACGTACAACATACACATACATGTGCCTCGTGTATTTCATGCGCGCACACATGAATGGCCAAAATTTATTCGCCCCACGAACAGGAACACTCGGCGAACTTTGCGCAGACTCCCGCTGCCCCCGATTTACAATGCATGAATGTACTACTTACTCCCTGTGGTGCATGATAGGAAGAATTGAATGTGCTTCGTTTTTAGTACAACAAGAAAAAACAGAACTTCGTGCAAGTCAGTGCTCGTGTTACCGGTCGTTGTTTTCGAGTTGGTGTTCTTCGTTGCAGCCGGGGCTGGCAGGGCACACACACATCGCTGAAACAACGCTGCTCGCCAAGAACACAGCCACGTGTATACGATAGATGGCAGCAATCTGAAGTGACTGACCCAGGGCAGAGGGGGGGGCCAACCTCGATGGCCGCTGAGGCTCCGCGAGCTACATCCACATCGAGTAATGTGATTTCGAAATGGCGGGGCTCCTGGCGCACTATCGACCCGTCTGCCGTGCTGCTGTGTGTAGCAACCCAACCAAAGCGCGCTCCAGGCATTGAGGCCGGCAAATCCTAGCGAGGGTACAGCGAACGGGGTCCTCAGCTTCGACTACGCTGTTGCTCTGCGTAGCCCAAGAATTCAGGAGAGCAAGCGCAGCATTTCAAGGAGGCGCGGGCTTTTGTTTGGGGGAACCTCGGAGAACATTCAGCAGCAGCAGCAGCAGCAGCAGCAGCAGCAGCAGCAGCAGCAGCAGCAGCAGCAGCAGCAGCGGTAGCAGCGGTAGCAGCGGTAGCAGCGGCGGCAGCACCAAAAGAGCCAAGATGCCTCTCGAAAGCACAATGATATGGTGAGTAGTTGATTGTGCTGGTGATGGAGGGTGTTGAAATGATCGATGTATTGTTTTTTACAACGTAAACAACACTTCAGATACTGTCATACGATCGTTGTTGTTGATCCCCCCGGGGTGTTCCGCTTGAGTAACGGTAAAGCTTGGACTCCCAAATAGTATTCCGGAGTAGTATGCTGCTGTACAGCACGCGTGCCACACAAGCTGAAGCCCTTGACCCGTTGCTGGAAGATAATTGTTGTTCTTGTGATGCCCGCATCATCTCGAAAAACACACGCTACCATACGCAGATCTGTAGTACCAGGCGCGATAGTTTTCAGCGCAGGCCCTGCAACGGCCCCCCCGGGCCATGATTCTCGACGTCTCTAGAACTCAGCGCCTTGCACCATGCGCACAGAAGACAGCGACAACATCCCAATCGCCTGCAAATCACTGCCTAGAATGCCCCCTTAAGTCTTTCGTTCGGCTCGGCCCCAATCTCCGGTGTGGTGTAGTGGACGGGGTTGAGAGCCGCGCGCTGGCGAAGGAGTGGTGACGTGCATGCGTGGTGTTGTTTCCGTAGATACGATGCAGCAAGCGAGCGCCGTCGACCAAATAGCACTCGGAGCATGCCACCGCACACAAGCCACGCTCGCGGTTTGGAAAGCCGCGGACATGAGCACACCTGCTGCTCAATAGCATGGCGTGGGCAGATATCGACAAACGTAATGATGACTTGAACATTTGAGGCGTGTCCAAGCCGTTGTTTCACCGCCCCAGCCGCGTGCCCAAGCTACGGCTCGAACGGACCGACGTCATGACGACGCCATGTCGCTCACTCATCATCCTCTACACCACGTTTTTACTGCAACGAACTGCTCAGCAGCACGAGCAGGGTATCTGCGTATCTACTGAATTTCGTTTTGTCCTCCTCACATAGTAACCCTCCAACTACAGCATGTCGCCGTTGTTCGGCGTGAACGCACAGAAGAGGTGTACTGCCAAGTGGCCTTGGGACCGACATTGTCACAACACCAAATCTGACATACCCCGTTACACCACACCACATTCTCCTGCGACAACCTGCTACAAGCAGCACGAGCAAATATGTCTTAGCTTCGTTAAGCCCTTCAAGACTTAACCCCCCCAACAGCAGCATGCCTCCGTTGTTCGGCGTGAAGTACTTGGCAGCGAAGGGGTACAATCAATACTGAGAGTGGTCTTGGTCCGTTTTTTTTTTTACGAAGCCCCCTACCAACAGCAGCAGTCGTCGTCCTTTGTCATGTGTGGAATGCTTGACGAAAGAGCCAGTCGGTCACATCGTTGCCCATTATGTCCTTGCACCCGCCGAGAGCTTCATGCATTGCTCGTTCATGTCAGACTTCGCCTCGCGCATGGCTGTAGCACCTCAGCCCCGTTCCGTTACCTGTGCAGTAGTAGGCCCTGTACAGTACCGGCATGTGTCTAGAGATTTTACCGCGGCAGTATGCCGGGCCACCGGAACTCCATACTATTCAGAACAGGGATATTCCAATATATAGGTATGGGAGTGGACGCTCGTGTCCTGATATTTGACCGGCGATATACCGGACTGTGCCACTATTCAACCAGCACTACTGAGGGCCTACTACTGTGGTGGCGCTACTGCTGTGTGCATGCACAAGATGAGACTGATCGTCGTTCGCGTTGCGATGTTTTTTTGTTTCAGCCTCGACAACTCTGAGTGGATGAGAAACGGAGACTACATTCCCACCCGGATGGAGGCCCAGCACGACGCGGCTAACCTTCTCTGCGGCAGCAAGACCAACTCCAACCCGGAGAGCACGGTGAGATAAGCGATCTGGGAGGGTTGTTTGGGTGAGGGAGGCCCCAACATGGAGTTTACACAAAAACAATTTGCTGGCAAGGCGGAAGAGTACGCACCACACCTTGTTCTTGGTACAATATTTACAACATTGGCTGTGTTGAGCGACGGGTGAATCCCCCCCACCTTCCTGACCAGCTTCTGGCTCATCCTTGTGAAACGTACGTAGGCCTGAGCCGTAGCCTGAGCCGGCATTTCACTCCGTCCCGGCATTGTAAGGATGCGAGGACGTCAATGGTCTAACGACTACAGCAGTCGGCATGCGTTTTTTATGAGTACACTTCCCCGTTTCCTGTGGCCCATTGACGTACATTTTTCTTCATTTTTTTATTTTCATGTTCGTTCCTGTTACCCAATTTTGTTCTTCTCATTTTCGCGATATTTTCGTTGTCGTTCTCATGACCCGATTCTTTTTTTCTCATTTTCGTGATTTTTTTTCATTTCTTCGTTCCTGTAAACCCCCCCCCCCCCCTTCATTTTTGTGCAATGACGACAACGAAACATACATAGGTCGGCGTTCTCACCATGGCCGGGAAGGGCCCCGAGCTTCTGGTCAGCCCCACCGACGACATGGGCAAGATCCTGTCCTCCCTCCACGGCGTATCCGTCCACGGCAAGACCAACTTCGCGGCGGGCATCCAGATCGCGCAGCTCGCCCTCAAGCACCGTCGCAACAAGCACGGGGGGCAGAGGATCATCATCTTTGTGTCGTCTCCTATCGAGGACGAGGTATGGTGGATGGATATAGTGGCGGCGTCCCCGCTTGTGCGTGTCGTTCCACCTGTCTGTCTGTCTCCCATGCTCTCTCTCTCTCTCTCTCGTTCTCTCTCTCTCTCTCTCTCTCTCCTCTCTATTTCGTTCTAACCCTGCTCATCCTTCACCATGACCATGAGATGGGTTGATCTGTCGTAATTTACCGTAAATAGATGGTATGTGCCAGGACCGACTTTTCTGTCTCCCGTGAGATACTTGTTGTGCGGCAGCATCAGCCGAGGGCGAGGGACCTACCCCCCCCCCCCCCCCCCCCCCCCCCCCCCCCCCCCCCCCCCCCNCCCCCCCCCCCCCCTCCCCGATGGACGGCACTCACCTCTCGTCGAAACCCGTTGAATGACCTTTCGTTGTTTGACGATAAAAGATTGACGGACGTTTCAATCTTGTTCTGGACACGCTCTCTGGAAACCCCTTCCCGCCAGAAGCGCTGTCGTGAAGCGTGCAATACTAGTACAGTAGGTGTCCCAGTAAATTGCCGGTGTGATCCAGCTGTTTGATGCCGGCAATCTCGCGGGCAACCTTCATTTTTCAGAGTATGAAACAACTTGAATATATCCATCTGTGACGGACTATTTCGCCGGCATTATAGCGGGCAACGGGCACTGTCCAGAGGATCAAACAACTGAAATATTCCATCGTCCCAGACGATTTCACCGACGTTGTACAGGGCGACCGGCATCATTCGGCCGGCACTGTTCCGGAACAACTCCTGTACGGAGCCTGTAATGCAGCAATTTCTTTCTTCTCGGACTCAAGACCACCCCCGTGACATAGATGATGGAACACAACCAAACGATCGCCGCTGGTGCCTGTGGCGGTTTCCCCTCTGCTGTTGTTTCGCTGTCCAGACGAAGACGCTGGTGAAGGTGGGCAAGATGCTCAAGAAGAACAACGTGGCTGCGGACGTTGTCTCCATGGGGGAGACCGACGACAACCAGGTGCCCTGGCGTGTGACCCCCTGGCGTTTATAGTCGTGGCAGTGTTTTCTGTCGTCATGGGAGTTTTTTTCAGCTAGCATCGACGTCGCGAACCACCTGACCAACGAAAATGCGCCGGTCTTACGGCGGGATGATTAACGCCATCATGTGTGTGTGTGTATGTGTATTTTATTGTTGTCGTCGGCCGCGCTATCCGCTGACCAGTGAAAACACGTCAGTCTCAGCGCGGTGGCAAACGAAAAATGTTTCTAGGGGCCATGATCTGGAACCCTTTTGAGGGGGTGTCGTAGGGGAGGCTATTCTACTCTCCGGGTCAGAAGCGTACGGTAGCAACAGAAGAAAACTGCACTTCGTTATGTACGATTTTCTTGTTTTTAGGATACCCTCGCTCCGTCTCGACGTGGCGGCATTTCGGTCGTAAGGCTGTATACCGTGTACAGGTCCTTGATTTTTCCTTTCATTTGGTTCGGTGAGGTTGGCTGGGTTCTCCTCAGAGTCCAAAACACGTCAGCCGTTGGAGCTTGGGAAACGTCATCACAGCTGGCAAGCCAGCTGTAAGTTATTCCTGCTGCCTGCTTCTATTTTCATCTTTCTTGCATCACCCCTTGATGACGCTTCTGTGCTTTCATGGGCCCAATCCCGAGGGATCACCTTGTGATATTAACTTAATTTAATTGCAGATTATTGATCGTAGAGGGACGGCGCTGCTAAAAGAGTCAGAAAATACCTGGCAAGGAACGGAAGCGTCAGAGGAGGACACCACCACCAATCATGAATTTATGCTGATATATATCTACGAAGTATTTGTTTTGGATTCGGAAGTTGTTGTCCTTGATGATACTGAGTGTCGTTTGGTTTCGGGTGCTTTTCGTCAATGAATCATAAGTGGCGGATGAGAGCCTGCGCGGTGCTTTTCGGCGATGAAACACAGATGGCAATCGAGAGACTGCTGTGCTTGCTTGGCCTTCCTTCGCGTTCGCGTTCATACGGCCATTTTTCGTTTTGCCCGCTCCCACTGTTTATCACCTTGTGGCTCGCGTCTTCCTGCTGCTGTGTTGTCGTACTCCCCTCCTCGTTGTCGTACGCAAGCACAGCATGCTCTCGTTAGCAGCTTGTGTTTCATCGACGGAAAATATCTGAACCCAAAACGACAGACACCATCGTCCACGACAACATGAGTTTTGTTAACGTCAAGGCACCGCAAGAGGGGCGGGAAGGGGAAGTAACCCTCCTGCGTGACCGCGGATTGGAGCTCCTAACGCTGACCCAAACCCTAATGCTAGGACAGCAAGTGAGCGTTGATCTATCTAAAGAACAACACCAACAAGGACCCCGCCCTGTTTGTGAGCAGGAGAAGCTTGAGGAGTTCATTGGTGCAGCGAACTCCGGGGACAACTGCCACCTCGTGACCATCCCGGCAGGCGTTCTTCCCTCCGACGTCCTCATCTCGTCACCCATCGTCAGCGAAGGCGGCGGGGGCGGCGGCGGCGGGGGCGGGGGCGGCGGTGGCCTAGCTGCCGGAGGAGGCGGGGAGTTCGGCGGGGCCGCCGACTTTGGAGGTGAGAGAGAGAGGGTAGAGAGCGAGAGAGATGGGTTTGTCGTGTTCTATGTGAAAAAAAGTGGAGAAAGGTTAGACTACGTTGTAAATACTCAACGTGGTATCTACTGCACCTTGTTCTGTGCGGGGTTGCGGGGGTTGATCTCAGCATGGACCACGAGCTCGCGATGGCCCAGCTTCTCTGTGTGCCATGGGTAAGACAACAAAAATACGTAACACTCACAAGCGGCACGGCGTTTACAAAAAAACAGCGTGGTATCTACTGTACCTTTTTTTGTTCAGGGGTGGACCCCAGCATGGACCCCGAGCTCGCGATGGCGCTGCGAGTCTCGATGGAGGAGGAGAGGGCGAGACAGGAGGCCGCCTCCAAGGCCACCGCCGAGCAGGAAGGGGCGGCAGCGGCAGCGGCAGCGGCAGACGCGGCTCCGGCGGCGGAGGAGGGCGAACCAGCAGCAGCTGCTGCTCCAGCTGCCGGCTCTGGTGAGGAAGCGGCAAGGTCTGCGGAGGAGGGGAAGGGGGCGGAGGGCGGCGACGCTGCGGGAGCGTCTACCGCTATGAAGGTCCGTGGCGTAGGTGTAGTGTAGTCAGGAACTGTTCTCTCTGTTCGCGTTTGTAGGACCCTCGTAGCGTGATAGGTCCAGCTTCTGTCGTGGATGCCTTCTAGAAAGAAGGTCGCGAGATTCGAGTGCCAGAAGACGGAGCCAGTACGCAGATTTGTGAAAAGTCGATTAGGGACAGCACTTGTGTGAGGGTGCATGCTATTGCAAATTCGGACAGGGACAATAAAATGTTCTAAGTATGCTTACCGGGCAGAATCGAACAGAGACATGGTGCAGTTGCTGGACGATTTTTTTATACTTTTATTCGGTTTTTTACCGGACACAAGTCTCGTTGGCAGAAGCCAGCCAAACGGGAACGTAGAGTCGGCGGCGAGTGGAAAGAAATGGCGGTGAACGAACGGGGGTGATTACAAAATTTTGATAATTAAATACATCCAACAACTTTTGAAAATATGACGTGTGTTTAAACGAACAAATGTTAAGCAGAGCAGGGAGTGACGGTGGCGCGATAGAGGAGCGACACGCGATGTCAAGGCAACTTTTCTTTTATCCATGTATATTTTGTGTGTTTTCTAAGCACGAGCTTCTTAGCTGTCTCCATGCAGCAGGTGCTGTGCTGGATTCATCGTTTTGCACCTAGACATGTGCCGTTCCGACCCGTGCCATTCGTTTTTGCGCTGGCTGTCCTGGGCGGAGCTTGTCTATCCTTCCAACATCAACGACGTGGATGATATGGGAGTGATGTGAATCACGTGGTCTGTAGTTGGTACGGTCAAGATAATGTGTTTTTGTGCTACACGCCTGGACGAGTCATGCGTCCATCATTGGGGCCGATATCGCCTCCCCTACCTTTGTTGTTGTTGCTGTTGTTGCTGTATCGCGTGATCCCGCGTGAGCTCGGTCTCGATCCCTCCCCCCCCCCCCCCCCCCCCCCCCCCCCCCCCCCCCCCCCCCNCCCCCCCCCCCCCCCCCCCCCCCCTCATCAGCAGGTAGACGCCGATGATGACGACGGAACTCTGCTGGCGCAAGCCCTGGAGATGTCCATGATGGATGGAGACGAGGCCGAGAACATGCGGGTGAGGCCTTCCTCAAAGGAAAGAAATGCGCGTTTTTTTGTTCGCTTGCGTCGGAGAAGAGGCGGTGTACGCCAAAGAGAAATGAAGTCACGTGCAGTGCGTATCGTGGGAAGGAACGTCAATGTAGGCACTGAGACAGTTTGTGTCCCTTTTTGTTGGTGCTTTTCGCGGGAACGAACACAAGTTGCGTGTGTTTGTGGCTAGTCCGATCTCTCCATCCACGTCCTTGCCACGCCAAGCGGGAAGCGCGTGGGAGGTTAGGTGAGGAGAGGCTACGTTTTTTGTTGAGTTCCCTTATGTCATCGCGCCTCCCCCCCACCCCCGCCCGCCTTGTTGCGGGAAAAAAAAAAGAAAAGAAAAGCGTGGTCAATTGAGATGAAAATGATGTAACACCGCCGCCGTTTGCGACGAAAACACCAATGTCTTACGTGTGTACTGGGAATGCAAACGCATGACGTGTTTTCTTGCGGCCCCCAGATCGCCATGGAAATGAGCATGGTGCCGGACACGAGCGATCCACCAGCATCATCAACAACGGCAACGACAACGACGGCGGCGGCCGCGGCGCAACCGCCAGCCCCTACCCCCCCCCCGGCCTCCAGCGGCGCCAGCGCAAACCCTCCTCCGGCCCCGGCGGGCGGGGGGGGCGGAGGAGGAGCAGCAGGGGCGGGAGAATTTTTCGACCCCTCGTTTGTACAGTCCCTTTTGGACCAGGTGAGATAGTTGAGGTTTGTGTCTCGAGGGGGAACGGGAAGTGCATGTATGTGTGTGTGTCTTGACTACTCCGTTAGCATCGACCCTGCTACATTACCGGCTAATCAACGAAATTTCGTCAGTCTCAGTGCGGTTGAAGACAGAAAATGCTTTCTACAGGCCGTGGTCTGGGCTCCCGTAAGGGTGTGTGTGTGTGCGTGTTGCAGAGGACGTTTTGATGGGTTCTTTGACTGAAGACCAATGCAACGTCGATTTTTTTTTCTGGTTTCAAAGAGAAAGAACGCCCAGCGTTTACGCACGAAACGCGTTAGCTCTATACGCCACAGCTCAATAATCCGACATGGTCGCGAACGAGCGTTTGCGCAATTCAACACGAGCAGATACTTCCAAGCCAGGGTCGGCGTTTGTGCTAGACAGATGTTCCTCCCTCTCTCAGTCTCGGAGATCACACTCGACCCGACATGCCGCAAGGAATGAGGCTCTCCCGATCTGTCTATCCCCCTGTTATATCTACGTCTTCTCCCACTCGGCCCGTTTTCCAACACCGTCCTTTTCTGGCACCAAATTCCCATCGTGCGCGTGTGTGTGTCTCTCTCTCTCTCTCATCGTCGGGATGTATGGCGACAGATCCCAAACTTAGACCCGAAAGACCCTCGCCTCCAAGCCGGCGGGGGTGACGGGAGCGAGGCTAAGAAGGAAGGGGAGGGGGACAAGAAGGACGGAGATGACTCGAAGAAGTAAGCACAGCTGTGCAACGCGTGACAGCCAGCACCGACATCATCATCATCATCATCATCATCATCATCAGCAGCTGCATCATCAGGAGCGAAGAAAAAACACTCAAGCGTGCTTACTGGTGCGAGAGCAGCAGCAGCAGCAGCAGCAGCAGCAGCACAAGCAAGAGGAGCACGGTGAAATCTACGCCGCGGATGAAGATACTGCTGTTGTTGTGTCGTGTTGCAGCAGCATTGGGAGGGAAGTACAGCCTTCGCGGGTAGGGGAGGAGAGGCTCGTCCAACAGGAGGTTTTGCCACAGTTTCGAGAGGCGTTTTTATTGGCGCGTTAGGCTGTCCTAGCTGATCGCAAAACACGACTGTCCTTTGTGTCGAGGGTATCGCCGTCGAAAGTGCTTGTCGGATGCCCCACTAGTGGTTCCCCAGCAGCAGCAGCAGCAGCGTTTGGAATAGTACAACAGCAGAGGATTTGCGTGCGGTCTAACTTTGCCGACCAACACGAAAACAACAAAATGTGGTGGGTGTTCTGCTGACAGTGCAGCTTGTGTGTTTTTTTTGTTGTCCTCCCATCCTTGTGTGGAGGTGTGCAGAAGTACATCCGTCCCTGTGTACGCGTGGTGATGGCGACGAGGTGGTTGTTGTCGTGCTTACGAGGCAGATGTATTGCCGTGATGATGATGATGGTTCTCTGCTGTTGAGAGGACCTGTAGGGCGGCTGGGGTTCCATGTTTTGTTCGGTGATGATGAAAATGTGGGGGCGGAAAAGGGCTACAATTTTCTTGTCGCGATGGACTGATCAACATAAGCGTAATTACTTCCATGTAAATCGGACGGCACAAATTCGAGCGATGATGGTGATATGCTCGCTCCCTCTGTTCTCCGCCTCTCACTCATATCACCTTGTTCCTCCCAGCTGAACTCTCTGTCCTCACCTCAATCTTAGTCTGATTTGCGCCATCTCGAAGCTAGCGCGTTCTCTCTTCGCGGTGCTACGAGAGATCGTCGTGCGTGTGCTGTGCATCCACAAAGAGGAACCCTACAATCACAGAAGACTACGTACCGGTTCGAGGTGATCGCCCCATATCGAACGGATGCATGTGTTCCAACCGTTCTTCGGTCATATTTTCTTGTTTTGATTCATGTCGCCAACGTTTTGCCGCGAAACGGGTCTCGTCCGAGCGCAGCTCAGCCATGTTTGCCCGCGTGCGCGTGATCCGTGAGAGGGATCGATAGCTCGCCGATCAAAAACGTAGACTAACACGCGGATCCGGAAGACTTTGAATTTGTTGTCATCCCCATTGTTCTGTAGACGTCGGTCCTTCCACCTTTCGGTACAACTCTGGATTCACCAGCTGTGGTCACGCAGACAGGAGGAAGGCCACACAGGGAGTGCCTGCTGTAGTTGTATTCTCCGCGTTTCTGCGGTGCTTGCCTTGAAGGCCAGCAGTTTTCTCTTGCAAGGTTCGCCAAGCGTACCACGGTGTCAAATCAGTCGCCGTTGCAGCTTTGTCGATGCCGAAGACATACAACACAACAGTTCCCACGCAACCAATCTGCCAGCGTCAGATACTGAGAAAGATTGTTCCACTCTAAAAACTACATGGATATCAACATTGGACAGCAACAGTCAGTCGGACTACATGAAACCGAGCATTTAGATTCTGACAACGAGAGTGCCGTCATGTTGAGCACTGAACAGCTACATGGCCGAACAAACGACAATACCTTGGACAGGCGAGACAAACAATCAGGTGCACGTGAAATATTTGAATACACCAAGGAGCCGACACCCCCGCATCGTCGACAAATACTTTCCTACCAATGGTTTGTCACAAGTACAGAATACAGACGAGAGCCCTGCAGTAGATAGAATACTCCCCCAGCCGAATAACGAAATTCCTGTAACATCAGTTTTCCATCGGGGCACGAACTGAGGCGTAAACTAATGATCATAATAATTTTGCAAGATAACCTATGCCCGGCCCCTTCGTGGAGCAACCCTGCCGCAGATTGCGGCTTCCCGGCGCATGGTCTCGAGGCACCAGTACAGCACCACTCTCCCAGAGTACTTACGCCTCCCCATACCCAACACCCCCCCTATCACTTCACGCGGCGCGCTGTGTGGGCTGGCCAGCAATACCTACCGCCCTAGGCTTACCGTCGACATTGCTTGTAGCTGGGTATCATTTGGAAAACGAGAACTCGGTGACCGCCGTTTTCTCCCTCTCAACGCCGTATTACCACACGGAAAAGAAGCTCGATTCAATAGCTCAACCGCACTATCGTAAAAAACACACGATGTGCGGGTGAGAGAAAATTGAGGGGCAAGTCGGTAACCGCGTTGTGAAGTCCTAGCAGCAACACCAACTAACAATGTTGGGAAGAAACGAGTTCCGCCATAGCGCAGCCGAAGCCTAGCCCCAGCAGCGCGGCCGGATTGCCGGCCGTCGAAACAGACATATTGGTTTCAGGAAAGGCTACAGCCCTTCGCTCTCCTGCAAAACATCCAACTTAAACAATCTAAACGAAGTGCTTCGACATACACACAGAGCATTTTGTGTTTTCAGCGGCACGCAGACCGACGTCTTCTCATTGGTCAGCAGCCGGTTAGCGCGGTCGACGACAATACATAAGACCCCGCCCCACGCGCAGGGCGTGTTCCGACAAAAAATACACGAAAAAATTACCGTACAAGATGTGCAGATTCTGGAACAATTCTTAGTGAAACACATCGAAACGCCTATCTAGCGCAAAGGACGACACCACGCACACCTTTTCCCCTCCCGCACCCTCAACATTCTCGGCGCGTACGCATAGCAGCAGCTGCAGTCGTAGCAGCAGCAGCAGCGGCAGCAGCGGCCGCGGCAGCCGCCGCACACTGGTGAGCATAAACGCACAGTAGGAAAAGACAAAAGTCCGCACTATGTAGACTGACGTGGCGCCGCAAAAAACAGTGAAAAAGCGCATCAGTTCAAGCCGCGCACATTCAACACCATCGTGCGGCACTTCTAGCCCTAAACGCCGGGGCGCGACGCTCGCGCTACCATTCTCGCGTAAGACCACCTTGATACCCTTACATCAGAGTAGCGATCGACCGGGCTCCACATGAGGTGCTGCTACTGAGACCTCTCACTCACACCAGCGGACAAACTTCTGTTGCAACAATTGGCATCGCCAATGCGCTCATCGGATCCCCTAACGAGAACTTATTTCCACAAAAACAGTCGCACATGCCGACTTCCACACAAAGCGCTATGCGCCTTTCCGGCACCACCTAGGCACGCATCACCCCGTATTTGTAAATTACAACTTCAATTACCCCCCCCACCCCCGCGTGAAAATCTCTTCACGGGTGCTGCGGTGTCCGCTTTCCTTCTACAATGCGAACCTCTCTCTCGCACTCGTGGTGAAATACACATTACGCACCCACCATGTCAGCGGGGAACTGCCGTACCAACACCGCCACCCCCTTCGTTCCGTTGCTCCTCCGTTCTCCTGCGGAACGCCTTGTACCCCCCCCCGCAGAAATCGTCGCGTCCCCCCTTGTCACTAGCTCTCAGTCCGAACCGTGCCCGGGCGCGTTCCAGCCGCGCGGCGGACCTGTCCCGATTTCGTAGGTCGTCTTGCATGGCTTGGTAGACTTGGTAGCTCTTGACGTAGTCGAACTTGCGGGCGAACAGCGCGCCGCTGGACTGCGGTCCCATCAGCAGGAGCAGCAGCAGCAGCAGCAGCAGCAGCAGCAGCAGCAGCAGCAGCAGCAGCAGGAGGGCAAACAGACGGCCAGGGTCACCACGCACGTCGGAACCTTCGAGCACGGAGTGTCTCATGGAAGCCAGGGGCTTTTTCACGCAGCGCCACCAACGCCTATGCATACAAGAGCTCACAACACACCAATCACGGTCATGTCCCCTTGCCACAATAGTTCATACGGCCACGACTACCTCGACCCCAACAAGTGGCACCAGCAACACTTGCCTTTATTTTGTCGATGCTAGCGATAGCCAGAGGCTCCGGGTGGATGAGGATATGCCCGTTGGCATCGACCTTTCGGCCGTGGCTGTCCCTGTGGTGCTCGTTCCAGCTGGTGAAGCGAAAATTATCGCCATGAATGGGGAACACCTTGCCCTACGATTGGGATTGGACACGCGGTGGTCCAACGGGAAACGCGGGTGCGCACGTAAATCGCTCAAGTTAGCAACGCATGGCTGTTTGGGCCTACGAGAATCAGAACTGGAGGCCCCGTTGGGTATAGAAAATAGCATCCCCTCTTGTTGTTCCGGGATGGCAACCAGACCCCCCGAGATCACAGCAGTAGATAAGGTGTAGCCTTCCCCCCTCCCGTCGCTTGGTGATATGCAAGCCTGGTTCGGCGAGAACCCGGCGTGCTCCGTCCCGGCTTTGTAGGGATGCGAGGTCAACTATCACATCGTAGCGTGTACAGCTTTGAGTACCCCTCCCCGCCCCTGAGGGTTCGACAGTACTTTAGGTAGCAAAAAGCATGTCTGCTGGCACCCCACTTCGCGTGCGGGCTTCCCCCCGCTCCCCCCTCCTCACCTCTGGGTGGCACGCCAGGGTCTGGAAGTAGCTCTCGTCTGATATGCGGTACCCCGTGAAGTACGCCGACAGGGTCCTCGCCACGTTGTCTGGCGACCACGACGCGTACTCGCAGAACGATCGGTGGAACGCTCCCCAGAACTCCCCCTTGTACAGCCGGAACCGCTGCGGGTACGCCCGCTGTATCCTCCCGAGCGTCTGCATCGCCACCGACGTGTGGTGATCCGCGCGCCGGTGCAGCCCCTGGTCTTCGGTGTATCCCTGACAGAGTAACGGGGGGTTCGGAGGGGGGTGGGTGGGTGGGGGGGGGTACTCTCATGTTTTGCATGCCTTAGCGGTAAGACCATTGACCACGGGTCCTCGAGAGGACGGAGCATTGTTCCCACAGGACCGATCACCGATGGCCAATCATTTCCTTCCTACTTTGCCAAAGGTGGCTCAGAAGTGTCTTCCTTAGGTCCATCTATCCTATCGATACCACTACCGCCTTTTCAACCCACGTCCTATGTATGCCCCAGTACAGCTACCGTTTCGAATCGGTACTCATGTTCTGCATGCCTCAGCGGTTTGACCGTTCACTAGGCGTCCTCGAGAGATGATATGGGGGGGAGGGGTCTCTCTACGGAATTTCTGAACTTCTGACGGGTCGTGAACTGCACCGCTGACTCTACAACGCTTCGCAACACTGCCAGCAGCAGCAGCAGCCAGCATGACATTTCGTACACATAAGCGGCCACGCCAACCGTGAAGAAAACGTTGCACAAACACTCCCCCCCGCCCTCCGCTTCGAGTGACGCGCACAGAAATCGTGTCACCTGCCACCGTTTCTCGAAGCCCGTCATAGGCTCCCCGTCCATGAAGCTAACCCCGGCATCGGCGTGCTCCCCCAAGAAGAGGGTCATCTCGTCCTGTTGTGAAAAATTGGCAGTCGGAGATGTTTTCAAGGAAAAAGAACGGGGAGTCGGCAGGCAAAAGGAAGGAGTCCCATGAGAAGGTGGGTGGGTGTAGTTGGATTCAGTGTGATAACGTGCGCTTTATTTAATCACACACAAAACAAAGCAACAGTCCGATGGAGGTCGATGTAGGTTCATTCTATCCGTCAAAACGCAAGTCAGGGCTGGTGAAATTTGAACTCCTAGTGGTCTTTCCACTTGACGCGTTCGGTAGCACGCAAGACTAGCGTTGAGGTCGAGACGCGCTTCCGTACATGCAAACATTTTCCATCCGATCACGCCCCGCAGCGTACAGTGTCTCAGAAAAAAATCGCCGGCAGTAAAGCGAGTCTAGAAAGGGTTGAGATGTCTTCACAACTTCGTCCGACGTAGTGAACCGTGCGGCTGACTGCAAAGCGCAGCAAATACCGGCAGCAGCAGAGAAACACCAGAGACAGCGAGAGGGTTTCGAATGAGCATTCCCGAAAACAAAATGAGCATAGGGAACAGAGTCTGATGAGCCATTCCACTCCCCGCGTTCAACGACGCTAAGTGGACCACGACAACACTCCTACCTGGGTCACAACCGGGAAGTCAGAGGTGCTGAGGTTTATGAAGTAGTCCCACCCCTCGTCCCACAGCAGCGCCGCCGCGATTCCGTACAAGCAAGCCAGCGTTATGGAAAACCCGCCCCACGAGACGATGCCCGCAGGCTCCAGCAGCTTGCCGTTCGAAGGCCGGCCGTCTGCGGCGGGAAAGTTGGCCCTGACCACCTCCCTAATCTTCTCCGTCTGACCGATCGTTGTTGATCGAGGGATTGAAAATGTTGTTGAATAGTGGCGACGGATAAGTGAGGGGTGGAGGTATTCGGTGGGGGTTGCAGCATTGGGGGGGGGCTGCTTGGTGGTCATTTATCGGTGTTGCAGGGCGGTAGCTTGAGATGGCCTACAGCAGAAAGAATTTTTTGCATGGCAGGCTTCCTACTTGTACGGCGCTGTAGATGCCCTCGATGCCCTCGGCCTACAGCAGCAGCGGAAAATTGCAGCAAAATTCAGGTGTTCGTGGAATATATTCGTGTCGTGTGTGTTTTCGCCCAGTCCGCAGAAGTGCAAAACCCCAACGTTTGTCGAGTACTCTTGTGCTTTGTTGTTGTCCCATCCACTATGGGAGCCAGTCTACAGTTGTACACCTTTCGGCATAACCCCGCAACAGCCGGGTCGCTCGCACAGCAGGAGGACGGGGCCCGTAAGCAGAACAAAAGGGGGTGGAGTCTCTTTCGTATTTTGAGACATGACCTGAACACGGCAACCTCTCGTTTTCCCTATGGGGCGCCAGGTCGAAACTCAACTCAACCCTCCACCCGTACCGATGCGACTACTTTTCACTCTGTGAGCATGCTGATTGGGCGCGTGTGCCTTTGACTCCCCTCTGCCTGCACACACACACCTGCTCTCGCGGGGCTTTCGCGTCAACGTGCACAAGGTAGATGTTGTCGGGGTGGTAGATCTCGGGCAGAAGGACGCTCAGCTTGGCGATGTCGTCCCCCGAGGACATGATCAGAAAAGCCAGTCGCGCTCTCCGCTCGCCACGGCCATCGCGAGCACCCCGATCGAAGAGCCCACGATGTTGGCTGCTGCTGTTGAATTCTGCAATCTCCTTTTTGCCGTCGCCAAAGGCTGATGATCCGGAAGCAGTAGTGTGTGATGCGATGCTTCGATCAACACTGGTGACAGAGAGATTTCTTTCGACATTCCAGCTACCCTGTAGAGCAACTTCAGCGAATACAAGAAGTGCAGCCAACAAGCCTACCACCACCACCAAACGTTGGGAACAGAACATCTCGTTGAGGCGCCAGGGTGCCTAGTGAGAGCCAGCCCAATAAGCGGCACGATGCAACGACCACCCAACATCCAACAATCCAACGATGATTCACGTACCCCCAAGGTTCGGTTTGCTGAAAAACGGGTTCGGGTACCGGTTGGGGAGTGGGAATCATGGTGTCATTAGATTTGCGGTGGGCCTCGCGGCCTTGCCCATCAGGTGCGCCGAACAATAAGTGGGCTCAGGCAAATATACATGTACCCAAGAATTTACCTGACGTACATACCGCGAGACAAATATACATTTACCCAAGAATTTACCTGACGTACATACCGTCGTGGCTATTCTCCGGGTAATGCCGGGAGCTGCGTCAATTTAGGTAGTAGACTAGACTATACAGCAGCAGCTGTACGAGCAATCAGTGTAACTACAGCAGCACACTTGTACACAACACTCCTTATATCTCTATTATTTTGTTTTATTTTGATCGGTCTTCCAGAGTAGGGCTCTTTTCTCGAGCGGTGCGGTAGCTGTTTTTTTCTATCATTCTGTTCTCTTTTCCGAGTGATTTGTACTCTATTTTTGTGTTGTTTCTGTACTGGAGCAACTAGCGTATGAGCGTTGTATGATCATGACATCATGACATGGATAGACTATTTTGTATTTTCGTTGGCTGCTGTGACTAAGGTTATAGCCGCCGTCCTCACTCTCGACTTGTGGGCGCGGAACGCGGGCTAGGCATGAAGAGGATAAAACATGAAATCCAACAACAACTGTGAGTGAGCCAGCAAGGAGCAGCGAACCTGCTCCCTTCCCTTTTATTTCCTTGTTCCTCCATAACGTTATGGCGTGGTCTAGCATTTGGACTCCGGTCCTTCGCTGGTGCACCGCACTTCGCGTTGCTCTTCTGTGCTTCTGTCCTCTTTCTGTTGTTTCAGTAATTTGTTATTGTACCGGCTTCAGAGGGGGGGCACATTTGCCCCCTCTGAATCGCTTGTCTGTTTGTGGAGAGCCATATTCGATATACTCGTAGCATAGTATGATGGTTGAGATGTTATGTACGTACGTACGAATATTGCAATGATGAGATGCGGAGGAACAGGAACTTTCTACGTATTTTCCTTGGTTGTGAGAGGCTTTTGGTGAGGATTCAGAGAGATTCGTTGTGTGAGAAAGCATGAAGGCGTGACTCGATACCGTGATGGTTTGACGAGCACGAGCACGCCCCCGATGAATACAACAAATACAACACGGCAACACGGATACAACACGTTTCCCAACACGTTTTTACCCATCCACGCCCCGTCATGGGCCACCCGCTCTAAACTCGAAGCACATAGAACTGGGTCACCCGAATTATCGATCACGCTAGCGTGATCGATTATTCGGTGGCTCAGTTCTTTGTGTTGGGAATTCTGCGAAATGTGTGATGTTGGGATGAAAGAGAGAGTACGGTTGTCCCGAACGAGATAACTGAACGTGTGAGGGGTTATCAAGCCACCAACAGCACGTATGAGGGGATGTTATGCTTCCAAGAGTTTAGTTGCCAATCGTGCAACGAAAAGAGTATGAGGGGCTTTTATCACACCAAAAGCAGTACGGTAGTAAAAAAAAAAGANTGGGATGAACTGGCATGAGAAGGATGACTATGATATTTTCCCGGAGCATGACGATGCATACGAGCAGGGGGGCTATTCGATATACTCGTAGCATAGTATGATGGTTGAGATGTTATGTACGTACGTACGAATATTGCAGTGATGAGATGCGGAGGAACAGGAACTTTCTACATATTTTCCTTGGTTGTGAGAGGCTTTTGGTGAGGATTCAGAGAGATTCGTTGTGTGAGAAAGCATGAAGGCGTGACTCGATACCGTGATGGTTTGACGAGCACGAGCACGCCCCCGATGAATACAACAAATACAACACGGCAACACGGATACAACACGTTTCCCAACACGTTTTTACCCATCCACGCCCCGTCATGGGCCACCCGCTCTAAACTCGAAGCACATAGAACTGGGTCACCCGAATTATCGATCAAGCCATGTGCATCTTTGTTCATCCTTCAGCTTGATGGGCTTTCGAGTCCATCCATGTACATGTGATGCGCCGCCCATGCTTGGTGGCGCTCTTCTATTTCCATGACTTGTGCTTACAAGCTACCCTTTCCTTCCTATCCCTTCGGTGGCAAGCCCTGTGCCTATCTGATCATGCCATCGAAATAATGGCGATGGCATGCTGCTGCTGAGTGGCCACTTGATGGCCTGCAGTGGCATGTTGCTGTCTGCTACACTGCAGCATGTATGTACGTAAGTTGTGCAATTTGGTGCAATCTATCTCACCGCGCTGCTTTGCTACAGGGGAATCGATCGGACAATAAACCGGCCGCGGGTGTGTGTTTTATGCGCACACCTCGAGGTCGAGGGAACAGCCTTGGCATCTGTCATGCGTGCCTACCCGTCCACATGGTGACGGGGAGCTGCCAACCGGCCGCTTAGCTGGCGTGACATTATGCCACACCTATCTGCTGTCATCCTTGGTTGGGCATTGGCGCAATCGGCAACATTAGACAAGTCTATATATTTCTTGCCTGGAGATCGGAGACACGGAGAGCAAAACATTCGGGCGCGGGGTGTTTCTGTTGGAACACCTTGAGCTCAACGCTGTTGTTTCTGTTGGAATACCTCGAGCTCAACGCTGGTGCTTCTGTTGGAACACCTCGAGCTCAACACTGGTGTTTCTGTTGGAACACCTCAATCTCAACCCTGGTGTTTCTGTTGGAACATCTCGAGCTCAACCCTGGCGTTTCTGTTGGAACACCTCGAGCTCAACCCTGGTGTTTCTGTTGGAACACCCCGAGCTCAGCCCTGATGATGGAAAGTTGCCGAATGGCCGCTTAACCGACAGGCTGTGGCTCATATTGGCGGCCACAAATGCTGCCGAGTGGCCGATTGACAGTGGTCGAATGTGACAATGTTTTGCTTCCCGGAGCTGCGCGTTCTTTGGGCAACTTCTGTCATGTTTTCTTTTGTTGATAGGATGCGAACGAGAAAGGAATCAGTCACGGAGTGTTTCCGTGGCACCTGCTCAGCGTTGCTGGCCATACATCATGACCCATGGTGGTGGTCTCNTAACCGACAGGCTGTGGCTCATATTGGCGGCCACAAATGCTGCCGAGTGGCCGATTGACAGTGGTCGAATGTGACAATGTTTTGCTTCCCGGAGCTGCGCGTTCTTTGGGCAACTTCTGTCATGTTTTCTTTTGTTGATAGGATGCGAACGAGAAAGGAATCAGTCACGGAGTGTTTCCGTGGCACCTGCTCAGCGTTGCTGGCCATACATCATGACCCATGGTGGTGGTCTCACCACGACAATTAACTATTTTTTTGGCCACGGCCAGAGACTTAGGCCGACTAAACTCCGCCCAGAGCAGAGCCAGGAGATTGGACCGGCAGCCGTGGATGCTGCCTGCACATGCATGCATACATGATGCGGGTGATGTCTGCTTCTCGCTGTCAGTACACAAGCGACTGCTCTATTATGCAGGGTGAAGAGGCACAAAGCACCGGTAGCGCAAAGAGCATGCCTGGCCATGGCTGCGGAAGTAATTTCTCGGATGATTTTCCATCTGCGGTTGGTTCCCGAAGCTGACGTGTTTGCCTCTGTCACCACCGCTGCTTGTTTTACTGTTCCGGCGTTGCTGATATTGCTGCCGCTGCTGCTGCTGCTGCTGCTGCTGCTGCTGCTGCTGCCATTGCACTGTCGCGGCCACTTTATCGCTGCCGCTGATGTATATTTCACGAATTCGCAGTTTTTTTTAACCCCAGCCATAACCTCGCATGAAGTAGTGCCGGCGTGTTTCCCGTTGGCCAAACCGCATGATGCTCTACCGTTCGCATGCGAAAAATGAGGTGGCTGAGGTAACCATACATCGGGCGAAAGCCACTGCTCTGGGAGATGCAACTCGGACGCACACACCCCGTTCCCGGTACCGGCCGCTGGTGTCGCCGCGGCCCCAGCGTCCACCGCTGCCGCTGGAACCCCGCGCCCGCGGAATTCCGGAACCTCGCATTTTCGTGGCACGACAGCGATGGCCTTTTGCACGCATCGCCGTCACAGGTATGTGTTGGACTTCCAACCTTTTGTTTCTCAGATATATATCGCCCCGCGCCTCATCACAACTTGTTTTGGGCGACCGTCGTGACTTGTCGGTGCCGACTATAGCCTTGTGGTGTGCGCGGGAACGATAAGACGTCGGGTGTCTCACGGACGCTCCCCCCGATGTGCCCTCTGGAGGCATGGCTTCCGTGCCTCCCACCGTTTTGGCGGCTCCGAGCGGTCTAGTCAACCTCGTCGGAGCTCAGGGACCTTCGGGACAGCCTCAAGCCCGCCGCGGTGGCTCGAGTACGCTTGTACCCACCGCGTCCCCTCCAGACCCTTCGCGACGTTCCTCTACCCAGCATCAACGTCGCACGGTGCTGACTGCACCGCCGTTGCCGAGCGCAGGTAACGGTTTTGCCAAATCGGAAGGTTTATGTTCTTCGTCACGAAATAGCGGTCCCGAGCCTCCCGCGACCGCTGGCCATGTTGGTCGAGCGCCCGCGAAGAAGGCCGCTTTTAATGAANCCAGCATCAACGTCGCACGGTGCTGACTGCACCGCCGTTGCCGAGCGCAGGTAACGGTTTTGCCAAATCGGAAGGTTTATGTTCTTCGTCACGAAATAGCGGTCCCGAGCCTCCCGCGACCGCTGGCCATGTTGGTCGAGCGCCCGCGAAGAAGGCCGCTTTTAATGAACAGGCCTACGTCGACGTTTTGCGCGAAAAAGCCCGCGTAGACCGCTTGGTTTCGCACGCTTCTGCGGCTGGTTCACCGCTTTTGCCTGCCTCTCCTCGTAACTCACAATCCGGCCCGCCTTCGGGTGGCACCCTGATTGTCCTGCCGGTTGCCGGTGCCATTTCCCTTGATGATATTTCTTCGGGGAAGGTAAGCGCACCCGCGCGGCAGGCCCTTATTTTTGATGGTAGTCATGAAT